CTGGGATGAGGCCCAAAAATATCCCAAATTTTGGGATCCAAAGGGATCCCAAATCCTGCTAAGAGATCCAAAGGGATCCCAAGTCCTGCTAAGGGACCCAAAGTAATCCAAATCCTGAAAATCCCGAGTTGGTCCCAGAAAAACCCTGGGATGAGGCCCACAGGGATCCCAAATTTTGGGATCCAAAGGGATCCCAAATCCTGCTATTCCCGAGGATTTGGGGTTCGATTTGGGGTTGGATTTCGCAGGCCTCAGCTCACAGGGAGCAAAGGGTGGAGGAGCCTCTGGAATGTGGAATTCTGTGTCTGGAATTCCGCATCCGGGTCCCGGAGCCTCTGGAATGTGGAATTCCGCATCCGGCGGCTCCTGGATCCCAGCCCGGAGGAGCTCAGGTTAACGATTAAACCTCCGGGAACGGCCAGGAACCGGAGCCGCTCCGGAGGGGACACGGAGCCGATCCGGGAATGGGAGAGCCGGGAATGTTCTCCTGGATCGGGGAAGGATCCAGGGAATCCTTGGAGCCGCTTCCCGATCCCCAAGGGGCTCCGGGAGAGCTGGAATTTGGGGAAGGGCTGGAGGGGCAGGAGCCAGGGAATGGAATTCCCAGTGGGAAAGGGGAGCTTGGGATTGTGGGATCTGGGGAAGGAATTCCCGGCTGGGCTGGAATTCCCAGAGAATCCCTGGGAATGTCCAAGGGTGGATTTGGATCACCCTGGGATTCTGTTGGAATGGGATTGAAGGTCCACGGATCCCATCCCAAACTAGTGCGAAATTCTGGGATCGAGGACACTCAGGATCCATCCCGAGGGATTTTTATGGAATTCAGGGATGGAAAAGGGAAGGGAGACCCTTCCTGGAGTCCCGAATTCCCAGTGAAACCCCTGGATCCCAAAATTCCTTCTCCAGGAGGAGTCGGGATGGGGATGGATCCAATGCCAGGCTGGGATATCTGGAAATGTTCCCCTGGATCAGGGAAGGATCCCGGGAATCCTTGGAGCCTTTTCCAGAGGGAAAGGAGAGCTGGAATTTGGGGAAGGGCTGGAGGGGCAGGAGCCAGGGAATGGAATTCCCAGTGGGAAAGGGGAGCTTGGGATTTTGGGACCTTGGGCAGGAATTCCCGGCTGGGCTGGAATTCCCAGAGAATCCCTGGGAATGCCCAAGGGTGGGTTTGGATCACCCCGGGATTCTGTTGGAATGGGATTGAAGGTCCATGGATCCCATCCCAAACTAGTGCGAAATTCTGGGATCGAGGACACTCAGGATCCATCCTGAGGGATTTTTATGGAATTCGGGGATGGAAAAGTCCTGAATTCCCAGTGAAGGAAAAACCCAGTGGGGATTTTGGGAGTTTTTTTGGGTTTTTGGGGGGGTTTTGGGGGTTTTTGCATTTTTGGTTTTGGTTGGTTGGTTGGTTTTGGTTATTTGGGGTGTTTTGGGGTTTTTTTGGGTTCTTTGTGGGTTTTTTTGAGGTTCTTTGGGATTTTTGGGGGTTCTTTGTGGTTTTTTTGGTGTTCTTTGGGATTTTTTGGGGGTTCTTAGGGGGATTTTTCTTTTGGTTTTGGGGATTTTTGGAGTTTTTTGCGTTCTTTGGGGTTTGGGGGGTTCTTTTGGGGGTTTTTGTCTTTTTTTGTTTTTGTTTTTTAGGGGTTTTTGGGCATTTTTTGGAAGTTTTGGTGGGTTTTTTTTTTTGTTTGGTTGGTTTTTTGGGTTTCTTCAGAGTTTTTTCGAGTTTTTTTTGGGTTTTTCGTTCTCTCCACCCCTGGGGCCCCTCTGCAGGAAGCCGCATCCTTTGCACAACCCGCGGGTGACACTCGGGCCGCGTCCCCTCCACCCCGTCCCGATGAAACCCCGGCTTGGCTTCGGGAATTCCCAGGGAATTCCGGGCGGGAATGACCCCAGATCCAACCCTGAGGATGATTTTTAGGGAATGTGGGATAAAAATATTCCATTTATGGGGTGGTTTTTCGTTTTCACCTCCACTTTTCTCTCATTCCCAGCCCCATTCCAGGTGGGCATGACCCCAAATCCAGCCCTGAGGATGATTTTTAGGGAATGTGGGATAAAAATATTCCATTTATGGGTTGGTTTTTCTTTTCTTCCCTCACTTTTTCCTCATTCCCAGGTAGGAATGACCCCAAATCCAGACCCGGGGATGATTTTTTGGGATTGTGAGATGAAAATATTCCATTTATGGGGTGGGGATTTTTTCCCCTCACCACTTTTCTCTCATTCCCAGCCCCATTCCAGGTGGGAATGACCCCAAATCCAGGGACACCCAGGGACACTGAGGGACACCCGGGGACATCCAGGGACATCCAGGAACAACCAGGGACACCCAGGGGACACCCAGGGACATCCAGGAACATCCAGGGACACCCAGGGACAGCCAGGAACATCCAGGGACACCCAGGGACACCCGGGGACACTCGGGGACATCCAGGGGACATCCAGGGACACCCAGGGACATCCAGGGACATCCAGGGACACCCAGGGACACCCAGGGACATCCAGGAACATCCAGGGACACCCAGGGACATCCAGGGACACCAAGGGACACCCAGGGACACCCAGGGACATCCAGGGACACCCAGGGGACAGCCAGGAACATCCAGGGACACCCAGGGACATCCAGGAACATCCAGGAACATCCAGGGACATCCAGGGACACCCGGGGACATCCAGGGACACCCAGGGACACCCAGGGACAGCCAGGAACACCCAGGGACACCCAGGGGACACCGAGGGACACCCAGGGACACCCAGGGACACCCAGGGACATCCAGGGACATCCAGGGACATCCAGGGACACCCAGGGGACATCCAGGGACACCCAGGGACATCCAGGGACACCAAGGGACACCCAGGGACACCCAGGGACACCCAGGGGACACCCAGGGACACCCAGGGACACCCAGGCCCACCCAGGGACCTCAATGTCCCCTCAAACCCCGCAAGGGACACGAGGGACAATCCCGTCCTTCCCACCTTCCCATCCCAAACTCTCCCACCATTCCCAAACCGCCCCTGGCGACATCCCCACCCCCCTTTTTGTCCCCAACCCCCCCCAGGTGTCACCTCCGCTCCGCCGCGGCCTCACGGCCCCGCGTGACGCAACCGCGGGGAAACTGAGGAAACGAAACCGCCGCCAGCACCCTGCCCCCGCCCCGGGGCCGGTTCCGGTGCTGGGTCCCGGGTCTCAGTTCCAGTCCCGGTTCCGGTTCCGGTACTGGGTTCTGGGATCTGGGTCTCAGTTCCAGTCCCGGTACCGGGTCCCGGTACTGGGTGCTGGGATCAGGGTCTCAGTTCCAGTCCTGGTACCGGGTCCCGGTTCCAGTACTGGGTGCTGGGTTCTGGATCTCAATTCCAGTCCCGGTACCGGGTCCCAGTTCCGGTGCTGGGTTCTGGGTCTCAATTCCAGTCCCGGTACCGGGTCCCGGTTGCGGTGCTGGGTGCTGCGTCTCAGTTCCAGTCCCGGTACCGGGTCCTGGTTCCGGTGCTGGGTTCTGGGTCTCAATTCCAGTCCCGGTACCGGTGCCGGTGCTGGGTCCTGGGTCTCAGTTCCAGACCCGGGACCGGGTCCCGGTACTGGGTTCTGGGTCTTAGTTCCAGTCCCGGTACTGGGTGCTGGGATCTGGGTCTCAGTTCCAGTCCCGGTACCGGGTCCCGGTCCCGGTACAGGGTGCTGGGTTGTGGGTCTCAGTTCCAGTCCCGGTACCGGGTCCCGGTTCCGGTGCTGGGTGCTGGGTCTCAGTTCCAGTCCCGGTACCGGGTCCCGGTCCCGGTACTGGGTGCTGGTTTCAGGGTCTCAGTTCCAGTCCCGGTACCGGGTCCCGGTACTGGGTGCTGGGTCTCAGTTCCAGTCCCGGTACCGGGTCCCGGTTGCGGTGCTGGGTCCCAGGTCTCAGTTCCAGTCCCGGTACCGGGTCCCGGTTCCGGTGCTGGGATCTGGGTCTCAGTTCCAGTCCCGGTACCGGGTCCCAGTACTGGGTGCTGGGTTCTGGGTCTCAGTTCCAGTCCCGGTACCGGGTCCCAGTACTGGGTGCTGGGTTCTGGGTCTCAGTTCCAGTCCCGGTACCGGGTCCCAGTGCCTGTGCTGGGTCCCGGGTCTCAGTTCCAGTCCCGGTACCGGGTCCCAGTTCTGGTGCTGGGTTCAGGGTCTCAGTTCCCGTCCCGGTCCCGGTTCCGGTACTGGGTGCCGGGATCTGGATCTCAGTTCCAGTCCCGGTACCGGGTCCCGGTGCCGGGTGCTGGGTTCTGGGTCTCAGTTCCAGTCCCGGTACCGGGTCCCGGTTCCGGTGCCGGGTTCTGGGTCTCAGTTCCAGTCCCGGTACCGGGTCCCGGTTGCAGTACCGGGTTCAGGGTCTCAGTTCCCGTCCCGGTCCCGGTTCCGGTACTGGGTGCTGGGTTTTGGGTCTCAGTTCCCGTTCCAGTCCCGGTTCCGGTGCCGGTGCTGGGTTCTGGCGTCCCCCGGGCCCCCTCCCGCACCAGGAAGTCGCCCCCGGTGGCCCGCGGCGCCCGCCCGGTGCCGCCGAGCCCGGCCCCGCAGCGAGGTGGCGGCACCGACAACCCCGTCCCCCCGCCGCCGCTCGGAATTCCCGGCGGGAATTCTCCGGGATCAGTTTTACCGGGATCCGCGCCCCGCCAGGTGAGCGGGGCGGGCCCGGTGCCGGGCGGGTTCCCGGCGGGATGCCGATTCCCGGTGGGATGCCGATTCCCGGGATGGAGGCGAGCGGCGCTTACCGAGGGGTCGCCGTCCGCGGCTGCTGCCGGTGGTCCCGGTGTGGTCCCGGTGCGGTCCCGGTGCGGTCCCGGTGTGGTCCCGGTGCGGTCCCGGTGCGGTCCCGGTGTGGTCCCGGGTGGTCCCGGCTGGTCCCGGGTGGTCCCGGCTGGTCCCGGGTGGTCCCGGTGTGGTCCCGGGTGGTCCCGGCTGGTCCCGGCTGGTCCCGGTGTGGTCCCGGGTGGTCCCGGTGTAGTCCCGGGTGGTCCCGGGTGGTCCCGGGTGGTACCGGGTGGTCCCGGCTGGTCCCGGCTGGTCCCGGTGTGGTCCCGGTGTGGTCCCGGTTGTGGTCCCGGTGCGGTCCCGGGTGGTCCCGGGTGGTCCCGGGTGGCCCCGCTGTCGCCGCTGTCGCCGCGCTGGCGGCGCTTCCTGCTCTGACTGGCACGGGTGCGCAGAGGGACCCGCGGCGGCACCGGAACCGGGACCGGCACCGGGACCGGGACTCGGGACCGGCACCGGGACTGGAACTGAGACACAGAACACGGCACCCGGCACCGGAACCGGCACCGGGACCGGGACCGGTACCGGGACTCGGGACCCGGCCCTCGGCACCGGGACTGGTACCGGGACCCAAAACACAGTACCCAGAACCGGGACCCGGTACCGGGACTGGAACTGAGACCCAGAACCCAGCAACCAGTACCGGCACCGGGACCCGGTACCGGGACTGGAACTGAGACCCAGAACACGGCACCCGGCACCGGAACCAGCACCAGGACCTGGCCCCAGGAACAGGATCCAGAACCCAGCACCAGAACCAGCACCCGACAGGGACACCAGAACCAGAACCAGAACCCAACAGGGACACCGGGACCAGCACCAGAACCAGCACCGGAACCAAAACCCAGCACCCAACAGGGACACCGGAACCAGAACCAGAACCCAGCACCCAACAGGGACACCGGAACCAGAACCAGAACCCAGCACCCAACTGGGACACCGGGACCAGAACCAGAGCCCAGCACCCAACAGGGACACCGGGACCAGAACCAGAACCCAGC